GATAAGCTCTGAGGTTTTAAAGGCAACTATTCAGATGGTGATTAGGGAATGCAAGTTGTACCAATCCATAGACCTGGTGCCAGTGCATTAGAAAACCAGCTGGTTGGAGGTGCATGAGAATTGAAACAGGATGGGGATGGATATAACACATTATGAAAGCTGACATTACCTAACTCTGATACTGTGGCCCTAGTCAGTTTTCCATCTGGCAACCTTTACCACATGAAGATGCTGCCAGCATCATCCAACAGCTGGAGTCGCTATTCTGCAAGAGAGGGCCAACTGCCGAGCTGCTCATTGACAATAGTGCAGCATTCTTTGGGGAAGCATTTGCGAGGTTTGCAGCGAACCAGGGCATCCATCTTAAATTCCAGTGTGCCTATCAACCATCAGGGAATGGCATTATGGTGAGGTGCTATCGTACCATCAAGTGTATTGCTGCTTGGTTAGAATGTTCCATTATGAAGGTGTTATATTAGTATAAGATGATGCCAAAAGACGATGCAACAGCTTAAGCAGACAGCATGTAAGTGAAGTTTTCTTCATACAAAAAATTAGATTCTAGTATCTTCATGTTCTGCACAAGATGTGGATGAAATTGTTTTGTGAAAACACAGATTGCAGTTTTGCTAATTTCCTTGGGAGTATTAGTAATTTCTTTTACGAAAATGTATTGTTGGTAATATTTATTTTTTAAAATGCATTATTGGTAATTTTTTAATCACGAAAATGTATTTCTGACATCTTCACTACAAAAATGTATTTCTACCCTTTCATAGTATTTTGACCGCAGTTTGGGGGTTAACTATTTCCCATAGCTGGAACCCTGAGTCAGGGTGAACCTGGGAATAACAGCAATTAAGAGGTGGTTCCACACACCTCAAAATCTCCTGATCAGAGGCCTTGCTTCCGGATGTAGTTTATTGTCATACCCAGAATGGTAGTCAAGCCTAGGAGTGGTAATGGTCATTGAGAAGTGGCAATGGTGGTAGCAGCAGCAGTGCCTTGCATGACAACTGGTGGCACATTGGGCCACAACTACATTTGGTTGTTCCCAGAGTGCATCTCTTTTTCTCAGGGGCATCTCTTTTTCCGGTGGGAACGTCCGCAATTGGCCACTGCCAGAGTTCACTTCATAGACCCGATGTGATGCATGGAGCCTAATGTGCAGAAAACAACATTGGTTATTTCATTCTCTAACCTCGCGGCACTTACATCCGGCCAGCAAGCAGAATGAATCGTAAAGAGATCTGATTGCAACAGAATATAACATTATTCATAAGTTAGTTTAGGTAGAAGCCTATAATAATTAATACTTAATAGTATTTACAATTCAAAGATTGCCTGAAAAAATCCTTTTGTGCCTGTCGTATAGACCATTGCCAATGGTCAACCCTAGCTGGTGTCACAGTTCTCAAATAGGGTTGACAATTTCATTGGTCTTACCATGAACCATGCTGTCTCCTTTGAAAATACCTGCAGGGCCACTCTCAGGGACAAGAGACAGAGGAGGAAGTACTGCAATGCTATGCTATCGAGCCCAAGCCAGAGTTTCTACTGCAACTGTTTATGCCTGTCGACGTGTACAGACTATCTCTTGATGTTCGTTTTGCGAAGCCAAGTCATGAAAATATTTTTGAAGGTACAAAATCTAATTACAGATATAAAAGTGTGTAGCTTAATATTGCAAGACATCTTAAAAGCGAAGCAACTGGTTTCACTCCTGCTCTTCAGGCCTCTACAGGAGATTTAAATTAAAAACAATAGAGAATGTGTAATGAGAAGGAGAATGGAGAAAAAAAAAATCCTTTCATGCCAGTCACATCAACCATTGTCAATGGTCAACCGTGATGTCTGTTGTCTCACCACCAACCATACTGTCTCCATCTTTGAAAATACCTGCAGGGCTGCTTTTAGGGAAAAGAAGCAGAGGAAGAAGTACTGCAATGCTATGCCATCGAGCCCAGGCAGGACTTTCAGTTGCAACTACTTCAACTGTGTATGCCTGTCCCACATTGGACTTATCTGTCACCAATGTGCCTGCAAACGACGTGAACAGACTCCTTACTGATCTTCATTTTGTGAAGCCAAGCTATGATAAATAGTATTTAATTATCATAGGCTTGTGGCAGACTTCACCACGTTAATTTAACTTTAGATTAGGAAACAGGGCTGACACAGAAAAGGATAAGCCAAAGACATTGTTACACATAAAATATGTATTTAACAAGATGTACAATATCAAACAACGATATGAAAGAAAGCATGCATTTAAGAAAAGGTTGAAATAAACAAGAGTTGTCTCTCTTTATCTGTTATTTTAGTATTTCAAATTTCACTGGAAGAATGTTCATGAGAGTCTTTTATATACAAGGTATGCTCAGCATGTGAGTGGTGTGTGTGAGTGAGAAGGTTGGCGCATGGTTTCAACTGTCATAGATTCGTTTGGCAGCTAAATTCTTACTAATTAGCTAACAAAAATTCTTGCTTAAATAAGTGACTATAGAATCGTTTCACGATAAGAATTATTCTTCACATGCAGACGATCTGATTGGTTGGCATAGACCAATCAGCGATCTAGCTTTGGGGAGACTTAAGAAAGCTTTTGTGATCCGTTTCTCCCAAAAGTACATAAAAATGACTACAGGAAAATAGAGCGATTACAAAATTGTCGCATTGCTGCGATTTGTAAATTGTCTATAATAACGTAGTGGTGATTACTTAACCAATGAATACTTGGTGTCATATGTGATTTGTATGTATGTATGTATGTATGTATGTATGTATGTTCGTGCGTGATAGACTCACACAGGCTTCTATCTATAAAAAAAAGGGTAAAAGTCTAGAATTTGGGCCTTAAAATAGGGGTCATAATTGGCATACACAAAAATGAAAGTAATTTTGTTAATACACTTATGGACTAAAGGATATCCTGAGTGGTTGATTTTTTAAGTGACTACAGTTACTTGAAGTAAACAGCAGTTGACTGGTTCACATTTTGTACGGATGTGTGTTACTATTTCACTGAAAAAAAAAAACAGTGGTGATAAAATTGGAGATCCAGACAAAATAGTAGAAAAATTGATGAAACTGATTGTAAAAAGAAATTAGAACCTGGGATGTGACCAAGTGTTTCATCAACAATAGCTTTTTGGAGGAATTGAAAGAAATTCTGAAGAAATTTAATTTTAATTACTTTTGAATTTGTTCCTGATAGATCTAGAAGCAGTTGTGGGGATCACTTACATGTGCCACACCTCCATTTCCTTCAATATCAATGGTTCATAAAAATATGATACTTATCATATGACAATTTTGTCATCGCAGGTAATTTGAAATTTTCTCTAAAATCACGGATTGGTCCATTTCCTGACCAATCGTGTATTTTAGTATCTTTCTATATTTTTAGTGCCAAGCTTGCTGGAGCTTATCCATCGTTATAAAAAGACTCTCGCTGTTTGCCAACAGCCAGTAGCAGTTCAATTCTTGGAAAATAAGGCATGGCGCTATATTGACATTTTAATTTTTAATTATCACTCAATCGAGTAATCATACTAATTCCTATTGATATCACTCATGAACATTACATTTTTCTACACTGATAAAACACTGTGGAACTATTCTTTATTTAGCTAAGACTTCAATTGAACTTTGTAGTTAAATAACATTCAATATTGTACTCAACATTAATTAGCTAAACTTACCCTTTTTATTACGGAAGAAGGGAAGCAACTTTCTTTCTTTATACTATTGTTGATATTTGTATATCATTGTTAATATTTTATTAATGTTCACTGAGCTTGATTATTTTTCTCTTGTGTTTGTTGTGCATTATTCATGTGGGGTGTTGTTTTACAAGAACACAGCCTTCCTTCTTTATTATATTCACGGTGACCCTAGCCAACAATACTTACAGCACCACTACACAGTCATCCAAAAATGGATTTGAACAAGGTTGAGGTGATTTTCTCTTCCCTTTCCTCTCTTGTCGAACTCTCTGCTTCCAGGCAGAGAGGAACCCAGACGAGGTTATGGGGAGGTAGCGACCCGACCCCGTGTATGCGGGGTCTACGAAGGATTTTTGCCCGAGTCTACGGGCTCAGAAAACCCCATGTAAAAAACTGGCTTTGTACCACATCCTGCCTTGTGGAGAGGTCTTGGGTAATGAGGCTATGCCGAAGGACTGAGTCTCGTTTGAGGAGGTCGACAAACCCGACCTAGGCAATTTTTGCCCGAGCCTACGGACTCGGAACGCCTCTCGATTGGCCTTGTGCCACATCTTGCCTTGTAGGGAGGTTGGTAAATAGAATCATTAGTGATGGTTGGTCCGCTTATAATGGACTCTAAAAATGATCTGGAGTACAATCAATGATAATTCAAATTCCATGAGTATTCTAATTTTATTGATTTTTTTATGGATCTTTTTTTAGTTCATAGAGAATAGCTGGCTTCAGCTGAAGCTTTTTTTTTCTCAGAAAAAAAAAGCTATCAACAAACATCTCTGCATGAATAATAGAAATATAATTATATTTGATTCTGAATATCTATTTCACAAAAAGTAAAAGATAATAAAAAAGCAGATTTGAAAATAAAAAACAATAAACGATCCTAACTTATGAATTACGGCCCTGTTTTATGGACTCGGTTCTAAACCCTGCCCCAGTCCAAATCCAATTATGAAATAAAAAAAACAGATTTTTTTTTTTTTTTTTAAAGACATTTTTTCCTTTTATTAAATACCATTTTTTTTATAAATCTATAAAGGTTTAGAAAAAAAAATATATAGTATTAGATTATTTAATTATTAGTTAAATTACAAAGAGAAATTGGGGGCCGATAAAAATTAAGTCATTACATTTTTAATTTCAAGTTAAACTTTTCTAGTCTGTTGAGTTGCAGAAAGTTGAGTAGACTTAATTAATTTTATTTAAGTTCTATTTTGACAACTTTTTTTTTTTCGAAGTAGTCAATAAAATAAATAATGCAACAGAATTCATTACCTTGTCCATAATTGTGGCTTACTTCAAAAATACTTCTCTAATGAGTATAAAAATGATTTTGTTTTGCTATACTTCTGTTTACAAGAGATTACTTGCCCTCGTGTAGTATTTTTACAAACCGGTACCGATTCTTTGACATTTACGGATGCTCAATGGGGATAAAAAAAATTTTCTGCACTTCACTGAATAAATAATGAAAAAAAAATGGTATCGAGAACAGAATAGCCGAAATTATTTATTTTGGGATTATTAAACGCTTTCTTTGTGATACACAAAAATAAAATAAAAATAATAAATAACATAAAAAAAAATCATGAATTGAATTTATTTACAAGTTATTTGAAACGGAACTATAAGTTATTTGAAAAGTCCATATTTTCTGGAGAAAATTATACTCACATAATAAAATGGAATGATAGCTTCGAAAATTCGTCCACAAGAAAACGTGAAGGAAACAAAACTGAATTTAACACTGACAAAAAAAAACTGCAAATTATGTTATCAAAATTCAATTAACAAAGAAAGATTTTTTTTATTACTTTTTTTTAGATTTTTTAAATTATCCTTAATTACATTATTATTCTCAAAACGTTTGGCGGTTAATGTTTCGGTGTTAATAATTAGAACAATTTATTTATTTATACTTAAAAATAGTACTTATGGGCACCTTTAATATTAAAAGTCAAATCGTTTGCTACTAAAAATGTTGTTTATAGTCTCGTCGTTTAACGCGAGATTCTCATTCAAAACATAACATGGCGTCTACCTAAATAGTGACCCTTGCTTGACGACACCTAACCTTTGTGTTTATTTACATCTTTCTGTATATTTTCACCTGCATTATCCACGTGTTTTCGCACTCTTTTTTCTAACCCCTGCAACTGGAAATCTTATTCTTTGGACGGCATAACTGAAGCAATTTTCCTTATTAAAAGAACATCATGTCCCTGTCGACAATCAGCGAGGTGGATATTATGGTGGGTAGCCGGTTGATAGTTGATCCTGATGTCTATGAATTTTGGTTGAATGGAAACACTGCCCACGAGGCAGCTGTTAATTTACAGAACAACGGCATCCTTCTCAAATACCAGGCCACTTTTGAAGATCTACTTAGTGATACCAGAGATCATTACAGGACTTTTGTAGGCCTCGAACGGTTAGTAAGTAAAAAAAGTAAACAAATATTGCGTTGATGATGCAAATCTTTTTATATTTTTTTTTCTCTAAGTTTCTTGAGATTTTTATTTTATTTTACACCACCGTTAACAACCTCGACTTGTCAGTACACTAGATAGAAATAATCTCCTCATTTCTAACCGATAAAAAAAAATATAACTTTTAAAAATCTTTTGTTTTGCATTTTTATGATGATCTTAATTGTATTTTACTTTTTGTAGTAATTTACTTGCAGTACCGGTGAAAATTTCATCCAAAGGGTCTTTTTCCTATTTTAACTTCTCCGATGAATCATAATTCTTCTTGCTAATGATTGAAATCTCTTTCCGAATTCTACGCCGATAAAATACTTGTGGAAATTCCCCTGTTGCATCGTTATTTGAGCTTAACAACTGATTTAAAAATGCAATAATTATGAATGCAAGTCATAATTCAAAATAAGGTACGAATGAAAAGATTCATAATTGTCAAGGGTTTCCATTTCAGTTTCACTAAGCAGACATGAGAGCGTTATCCCCTCTTTCAACTTCCCTTTTTTATTTGGTTTTATTCTTTTATGCTTTCTTTTAGTTTTAAATAATTTTTACTCAACGTAGCTTAGATGCGGCACAAGGCCGAAATTATGGAGCACCCAGAATTGATTTAGTGAGACAACTTTGCTGCACCACGTCAAAGTGCCCTTGTATGCTTTCTTTTAATAATTTAGCGTAGCTTAGATGTGGCACAAGGCCGAAATTACGGAGCACCCAGTGCTAAGTCATAATTGATTTTTAGCGAGACAACCTTGCTAACACACCACATCAAAGTACCCCTGTATGCTTCCTTTTTATTGCTAAATTCAAATCTCATCTTTTATAAAATGCTGTTTGCGAGTAAAGATGCAAGAAAGAAGATACATATACAAAACAGAATGGTCCATTATTTATCGGAGATAATGTTGGGAAAACGCAAGTATTAACTAGCCTAGCTTACCAATGGAGGAACATGCATATGACGAGCTTCTGCTTATGGGTACTTTGCATTGAAACACAGGTTGCCATACGATCACCAAAGTCAAAGTTAAGCAACACTGAGCTTGGTCACTACCTAACTAGATGGATTACTACTGTATAGTTAAAAATTATATCAAAAAGGCACTCACATTATATTCCTGAAGTAAATTTTACAAATTTTCCACCAGAGAAAAACATTAGATGAACTTCCATCTGTCATTCAAGCTGTCACTGTCAACACCTAAAATAAACGGTTACCGCTGTGTTAAAAAATGTATTTCTGTGATATTTTAAACTTAAAGTAATATTTGTTTCAAATCAGATTAATTAAACTTTAAATCAGCTAATATTTTTCAAAGTTTCAGAAAAGTATATTTTATTTTTGAAAGATTTTTTAATAAAGAGAATTACATTGCAATGTTATTGATTTCAAAACAAAAACTGTCCAATTAATTCAAATTTAGTTTTAAAATACAGCAAAGTTATTTTGCTTATTGGAAATATTAAATTTAATCTATTAGCTTGAAATTCAAATAAAATAAAAGCTTCAAGAAAGATTTTTCATTTTTTTTTTTTTTTTTTTTTTAAATTAATTTTAAACCTTGGGTATCACAAATCTGAAAGTACCTAGTAAAGTAAGAATTTGTTTACCTTCCCCGACTCAATGGGGGAGATTGACAAGGGCACAGTTAATGTGGAGCCACAAACTTTATCAAAAATTAGTTCTAAGGTTAGATCTAGTGAACTTTATGATAAAAATTGTTGTCTTATTAGATGCCAGCTAAGTTTACTTCATAGTAAAGTTTTGATGAGAAAGACAATTTCTGATTGGCAGATTATAAAATAAATAACTGTGCATATACTTTTATTTTGATTTCATTTTTTTTCTTTTATCCTTTTTCTTAGGCTGTTAAAGAATCCACCTAAACTTGCAGATCAACAGACTTACTTAATTGATCCAGAGACCCAACGGATGCTTATCGAAAAGTACTATCAGTTTGATCCACGCGTCGTGCGCGAAATTCTTGGTAAGAAACTCTCAGCTCGCAACCGGAAAGACTTGGACGATGTCAGCGAGAAAACGAAGGTCCCACTGAGGAGCTGTCGGAGACAGTTTGACAATATAAAGCGTGTCTTCAAAACTGTGGAAGAAATGATGGGCACTCTTGTTGAAAATATTTGTAGCCATTACCTTTTGCCAGAGGGACTGGCCCGACAATATGCTGCCATTGTGTTCATTACAAACAACCGATTTGAAACAGGTAAAAAGAAGCTAGCGTTTTTAACTTTTGAGGATTATGTTCATTGTGCTAATCAGATGATTACAAACTGGTCATACAGCTCTGTCGAGTGCACAGGACACGAGGACATGGATGTTGATCTCGACAGGGATTTTCTGCAGAAGCTTCGAGATCTGAAAATTCTTACTGAGAAGGAGTACCTCGACGAGCACAAGGCTATTGTGTTGGATAAACTGCTGAAGATTATGTCTGACCGGGCCTTCCAGGACCTGGAGGCAAACTTTAAGAATGTCTCCAAGACCATTATCAACATTGCATATGGACTCAACCACAGCAAGGATGCACGTGACATTTTCGTTGACTTGGTGGAGAAAATGATCGAGCCATGTTTCCAATCACGATGGACTCGAAATGATATGCAGCATTTCTTAACCGCTTACAAAGATAGCTGCCGAGAAATGGACTTGTTTGTGCGCACTGACCCCAACCTTTTGGTTGTGTGGGAGCGCTACATCAGTACCCTGTCCAGTTGTGTGTTACAAATGTACCACACATGACTTGGGCTCTGAACACGTGTTCGTTCAGTTGACCCTCGGGTACTGTCTCTTGAGACTGTTGCTGTTGATGGAGGCAGTTGGTGATTACACATGTAAGGAAGCTGCTCTTTAATTGTTTTAAATATGTGCACCTACCATTCAATTCATATATGGGACTAGAATTTCTAACACCAGTATTATAAATAGACCATCTGTGCTATTAATAGTCTTTTCAATGTGCTCACATAATACAAATTCCCTTTAAAATATAAACTCTAAATAACTAAGCCAGTCTTTTGAAAAATAATATTTTTTTAGTATTGGGTTTTTATTTAATTTCTATATTACAGAATGAGATAAAAATCCCATTCCATAATATTTATGGTTTCAATGACGGTCACGTTGATGCTAGAAGGCATATAATGTAACAGGTTTAAGATTATTAGTGTTAGAATATTTAAGATTAGTTTAAATATTTCTATATTAAATCTTTAATTAAATTAGAATGTCGGCAGAATTATAACTTTAGTTTTCAGCCATTAGTTATTCCAAATTATTGTATTTGAAAATTCTTATCCTTAGAAGATAAAAGAAATCAAGGTTATTTGATTGAGACATTCCAAATTTTGAACAGATTTAAAGATATTGATTATAGAACGTTCTATGAGCTTAAAGAAAGTAGTAGAATAAATAGTAAGACTTTAATCAAGCATTATAAGATTAAACCTGTGTTAGGAGAAACCAAATATAGAAGAATCAGAGGGGATTCTAACAAGTTTTCTGTCCTTTTTAAATTTTATGGTAAATTATGGTAAAATATTTACATGTAACATAATGGCATTTTCATTGTATATTGAATTTTATCTTAAATTGACCATTAGTAATTCATATCTTGATTCTTGAAGAAAAGTGTTGTGTTATAAATGCGTGTGTGTGTATACTATATATAATGTTAATTGAAAAAGTAGATTTTATATTTTAGAAGCCTTTATAATAAAATCTGGAAGCTCAAAACTAAAATCTTCTAACAGTCTAAAAAGTGAGATTTTAAAAGTAATTAAAAA